CGACCATAGCTAAAATTTTAGTTTTTTGGAAAAGATTAGATACTCTTATAATTTCATTAAAAAGCGAAATCTCTTAAATGAAACTCAAGTGTTAGATCTTGTTTAAGGTATTTAGGGTTTACTTTACTACATGGAAACATAAATATCAAATTCGAAGGAGATAGAAACCCTAACATGGTTATATGTGTAAATTCAACATGAAAAACAAAATCCAATTAGTAAAATTTCATGTTTACTTTACTTTAATTCAGAAATCTAACTCAAGAAAATGTTTCACAACTTTTTAACATAGAAAGATCTAATCTTTATATCATAAGGTTCAAAAAGAGTGATTTTTATACATAAAATAGGTTTTGAAGATTAATTAAACCAAATAAAAATAGTTAAATACAGGGGATGAGTTTGGAGGAAATGAAACTCGCCTCAAAATGTGTTGAACTCCCCAAATACGCAGAAACATGATCCTCCTTCTTCGAAAATCCCACGATCTCTCCCTCCTCTTGATTTTACTTCTCAAAGCTTGCAAGACTCACCAAAATAAGATGTAGGGTTTTGAGGGGAGAGGGTGACTGTTTATTCACGTGAAAGATGAAGGAAAACAAGAGAAATATCATATATATATACTTATATACACAAACGGGCCGAACCGAAGCAAAACTGACCCAAAACTAAAACCTGGATTCGGTGCACCCGTCGGTCGACTAATGGATTTCCACCAGTCGACTGACAAACACCCATCGGTCGACTGATAGCTCACCATCAGTCGACCGACCAGAGATGCATTATGCCGACAAGTTTTTGTGTGTTGTGCATGTTTTCACTATTAAACATGTATATATGTACTTAATCGATCTCATATTGATTACAACCATACTCATTCATCCCAGAATAGTATCAAACATGATAAAATTATTTAATATTATTTTTCACAATATTTTTAAATTTATGGGGTTTTACACATAATTTTGTAGCTGGAAGTGCTTCCTCAAGTGCAGCTGGAATTGATATTTCCGGAGCCGGAGTGGTTGTTTCCAAAATCAGAGGTCTTGAGACTCGAGGTGGACAGACGACCCCTCTATAGATCTTGGGATGTTCAAAGCTTCAGTTGATGAGTGATGAAAGTCTTCTACAGCAGCACCAACAAGTGGAGATATACCCTCGGCAATGTCATGTCGCAGACGCTCAAGAGACTCGTCGACATGAACGAGCTCCA